GACCACCCAGATCTGGTTGCTCCCCAGGGAGTCTGTTTTAGGCCTCAGTTCCTGGCTTCATCTGGGGCAGTTCCAAACCACAGGCTCCACAGCTTTTATTTAACCTGCTTCCCCCTGTGGCCAGTGGTGCCCAGCATCCTCCACACAGACAGCGTGGCTCTCCTGCAGGCCAGCCACGTGGTAGGGCGCCACCCTGCTGCCAGCCCTGCGGGGAGAGCCGGCTTGAACAGGCAGCGCTCTCTGCCTGTCCGCCGCACCTCCAGAGGGTCCCACACACCTGGCAGTGGGCGCTTTTCTTCCCTTTTTGAAGCTGCTTTTTGTTTTCCTCCATTGAGACCTGAACACATCACGTTTCCTAAAGTGGCATTTCTTGCACTCCATAGGGAGGCCCAGCTTGGGTGACTCAGGGCTGCCACCTACTACCCTGGATGGAGCAGCCCTCTGGGCAGAGCCCTGGCAAGGGCAGGCAGGCCGGAGGACAAGGGGCTTGAAGGGGCGGTGGTGGCGTGGCTGCGGGCTGCACCTCTGACTGCCTGGGACGTGCCTCACTCACTCAAATGGAGGCCTCCCCTCGCCGGCTGCGAGGTTCCGAGTAGCCCTCGGTGAGAGGGGGACCCAGGCAGACCAGCAGGCCCCTGGGCGGACTCATCCTGCCACCTGGCCGTATGACTGGGTGACCCTCCAAGCCACCTTCGCACTGTTTGAGGAGGGCAGCTGCTGGAAACAGTAGCGGGCGCTCTGGGTGGCCTCTGGCTCCTGGGTGGTGGCAGAGGGTCTACCCTGTACCCCCCACCTGCTGAGCCAGGCCTGCTTGTTTTCTCTTGGCAGCGGCCCCCGAGACCATGTCTTTGTGTACTTCACTGACCACGGAGCCCCGGGGCTGCTGGCCTTCCCTAATGACGATGTGAGTGGCTCTTGACGCCTGAAAGGTTTCCAAGGAGAAGGGAAGCGAGGCCTTCGTGCTGCGGTGACAGCCGTAGTGGGTGCTTTTCTGTCAGCCAGCCAGGGTGCACTGCAGGGCCGGGCCACGCTTAGCATCCAGGCCCCTCCCGGCCTCTTGATTTTCCTTTAGGTGTTCTTGTGGGAAATGCACACACAATGCCCACCAGCCCTGTGGTCTCCACACACGCAGCTCAGTGATGCCAATGATGTGCTGCAGGCCGAGAGACCTTGGTCTCCTCCTTTCCTGCACCCCTCCCCACCCCCACATAAACTCACCAGCCCCCAACGGCTCCCTCTAATCATTGCCAGTTGCTGCTGTCAATCTGATCCATCCTAGTGGCATGGTGGTTAAGTGCTCCCCTGCTAACCGAAAGGTGGGCAGTTTGAATCCACCAGCAGCCCCACAGAAGAAAGAGGAGGCGCCCTGCTTCTGTAAAGATCGTGGCCTTGGACGCCCCGTGGAGCAGTTCTGCTCCCTCCTCTAGGGAATTGGGGTGGGGTAGTGGTTAGCTGGCTCTTTAAAAGTGATGCCTGCTCAAGGTAGACATTTTCACTACTTCAGCCAAGCCAACACTCAGGTTCCCTTGTCCCTCTGCCCACATCGCAGTGTCGTTGGACTGGGCAGTAGAGCCAAGGGCTGCCCTCTGGGGTGGAGTGGGCAACTTCCTGCAGTCTTTTTCCAAGGGTGGGGTAAGAATTGACCAGGCACCCTCAGCACCCCCGGCTCATAGGTAAGACGGCTTAGTCTGAAAGGCGTTGTTCTTCCCCTTCAGCTAAACGTGAAGGACCTGAACAAGACCATCCACTTCATGTACAAACACAAGAAGTACCAGAAGGTAACACGCCCCAGGAACCCGGCCCCAACTCTGACTGGCTCCCCACCAACACGGGGTGGAAGGCTTGGCGAATTATCACAAGTGTTGGGCTCCCACCCTGGTCAGGGAGGCCCTTGCAGCAGCCTATGGAAAGTGGGGAGCGCTCTGGCTGGCATCAGAGGACGGAGGGGAAGGGGGCCCACCACCTGCAGTGGGCAGGCGTGCCTTAGCCTCCCACAGCGCCACTCTCTCTACCCATCTCCCCACCCACAGACCATGAGTGCTCAGAGCTTTGCCGACGGGGCGGGGGTGGGGCGGGCAGCGACAGCCCCTGGCAGCTGAGCAATAGGGCAGCTGCAGGGCCAGGTGGCCTCCATAGGGGCGGGGCTGGAGGTGGCAGCTCACTGTACCCTCCTGCATCCCAGATGGTGTTCTACATCGAAGCCTGCGAGTCCGGGTCCATGATGAAGCACCTGCCCAATGACATCAATGGTGAGTGGCAGCTGCTGGGCTGGCCTGGTGACATCACTGGCCGTAGCAGGCGCCTGGACCCGGCCCACGGCCCTCAGACAGGTGGCAGGTGGTGAGCGGGGCCCCAGGCCAGCTGCTTCCTGAACACACAGGCATGCTCTCCTTTGTGTGGCTTGCTGCTACTGCATGATACCCAGTCAGTCCCGACTCCAATCACCCCCATAGGATAGAGTGTCCCCCCACTCCACTCCCCCTCTTGGATAGACAGACTGCCAGGTCTCCCTCCTGCAGACTGGCTGGGGGTGGAACCACTGACTGCTTCACAGCTGAGCCCTTGGCATAGACCCTGGTGTGAGGCTTTGCTAGGCCGAGGGGTCACGCCTTCCTCCAGCCCCACATGGAGCCCCCCTGGGGGGGCAGGGACAGTGGTGGTTGGGCTCGTAGGTTCAGCCTGTCTTAAGTGTTTCTACAGTAGAGGCTGGCTCTCTGTGGAAAGGGGTTAGGTCCAAAGTCTTCACGTTTCTCGAACTGCTCCTCCTCGTCGGCAAGCTGCCCGTTCTGCACTTTATCCGGTCAGACCACGGCTGTAGAGTCAGAGGAGGACTGGGCTTCCCAGCTTCTTAAGGCCTGTTCTTTACACTCATCTGGAAAACCAGGCCTTTCTTCTGAGCCACCTGGGGTGACCTTGAGCCTCCCAACCCTCGACCAGCCAGCACCCAGGGGTCCCCCTGCTCACACAAACCATGCACACATATAGCCCCCATACATAGCACACACTCTTACTCTCACATACCTGAGCTGACGATGGGCCCTGCACAGACATACGCATCGTCTCTCTTGCTGATAATGGGGCCCTGGACATGGACACACACACACGATGGGTGCTCTGATTTGACTCCAGGAGAAGGAAGGCTTGGGTCCAGGGTGAGCTCCAGCAGGGGGCCCATTGTAACCCAGCATCATTCCCGCCCCACCCCAGTGTATGCCACTACCGCTGCCAACCCCAGCGAGTCCTCCTATGCCTGCTACTACGACGAGGAGCGGGGCACGTACCTGGGGGACTGGTACAGCGTTAACTGGATGGAGGACTCCGACGTGGTGAGCCCTGGGTCTGGGCGGTGGGTGCCGAGGCTGAGCCAAGGTCTGGGACCTCAAGGGCACGCTCATTTCCATCTCTGTAGGAGGACTTGACGAAGGAGAGCCTCCACCGGCAGTACCAGCTGGTCAAGGCCCACACCAACACCAGCCACGTCATGCAGTATGGAAACAAGGTGCGTGGGGCAGGGGCACGCAGCGGATCCCATGTCAAAGGGCCTGCCTTTCGGGTCCTGATCACTGCCTCCGAACACCCCCCCTGGGCTTTGGAATACTTGTTTATAAAGTGTTTGGGTCTATGTATTAGCCTCTGAGTCCGTTTCCTCGTTGGTCAACACCCAAGAGGGCATGGTCACTGAGTGTGAGATGGCCGTGGCATTAGAACACCCAGCCGGGGGTGGGCACCAGACAGCGTGGACCCTGCTGAGAGCCACCTGGGGTCCCAGCACCACGGCTTCTCAGGGTCCTGCCTTGTCTCAAGCTGTAGTTTATCCTCAGCAGCTTTTGCCCTGCGTGTTAGAGGCTGTGTCCAGAGAGAGCTTAACCGGACGTGCTCATCAGGGCCTTGCAGTGGGAGGCCGGGGCCTACGTGTGAAGCTGCTGGGGCTGCCCTGGTGACTTGCGGCAGCCTGCCACCTGCCCAGGAGCTTGCTAGCAGAGACCTTTTGTATTAGTCTGGGTACTTTGGAGAAACAAATCCACAGCAACTCATGTATAAGAGAGAGTTTTATGTAAAGAAAATGTGCATCACGAAAACA